ACCCTGCCCCTGGACATCTTCCTGGAGGAGATCCGCTTCTACCAGCTGGGGGACGAGGCCCTGGCCGCCTTCCGGGAGGACGAGGGCTGCCTTCCGGAGGGCGGCGAGGACGAGAAGCCTCTGCCTTCCCAGCCCTTCCAGCGCCAGGTGTGGCTGCTCTTCGAGTACCCGGAGAGCTCGGGGCCGGCGCGGGGCATCGCCATCGTGTCCGTGCTCGTCATCCTCGTCTCCATCGTCATCTTCTGCCTGGAGACGCTGCCCGAGTTCCGCGACGAGAGGGGCTACTTCGCATCCTCTTCTCCAGCGCCGTCTACTTCGCCGAGGCGGACGACCCCACCTCGCGCTTCAGCAGCATCCCCGACGCCTTCTGGTGGGCCGTGGTCACCATGACGACCGTGGGCTACGGGGATATGCACCCGGTGACCATCGGGGGCAAGATTGTGGGGTCGCTCTGCGCCATCGCTGGCGTCCTGACCATCGCGCTCCCGGTCCCCGTGATTGTCTCCAACTTCAACTACTTCTACCACCGGGAGACCGAAGGCGAAGAGCAAGCCCAGTACATGCACGTGGGCAGCTGCCAGCACCTCTCCGCTTCGGCCGAGGAGCTGCGGAAAGCCAGGAGCAACTCCACGCTGAGTAAGTCGGAGTACATGGTGATCGAAGAGGGGGGCATGAACCACAGCGCCTTCCCCCAGACCCCCTTCAAGACGGCCAATTCCCCCGCGGCCTGCACCGCGAACAATAACCCCAACTCCTGTGTCAGCATCAAAAAGATATTTACGGATGTGTAGCCTACCACCCCAGTGACCTGCTGTGCTCAGGGTCGTGCGGACCGGGCCCCCCTGGTCTGTGTATGCCCTTGTTTTAGACATTTCCAGACCATCCATCCAGGAAAGGACAGGAGGAAGTGGAGCACGCACTTCACCCCCTCCCCTCACCCCCCCAGGACTGCTTCACACTGAAACAGGTGTCTGTTTTGCAAATGGGCTGCATTCTCTCTCTCTCTCTCTCTCTCTCTCTCTCTCTCTCTCTCTCTCTCTCTCTCTCTCTTTTCTTCTTCTTCTTCTTCTTTCTCTTCTTCTTATTTGTCTTCTTCTTCTTCTTCTTCTTCTTTCTCTCTCTCTCTCTCTCTCTCTCTCTCTCTCTCAATATTGCAAACAGCAAACTTTGAATTTGATTTCCAGGGCCCGCCCTATGGAAGTAAACAAAACAAAAAAACCCCTGTATATCCTGGGAGGAAATGAAACTGCAGAACAGTTAGAGTAACTGTTTAACCTCAGAATTAAGACAGCTGTTTCTTTACTACGTAAAGCAGGCACACGCCGAAAGGACGCTTCCTTTCTTTGGACCTTTACTCAGCAGCACTGAATAGTTTAGCTCAACTGCCAACACTGTGGATACCTGGATGGAAAGTCCAATCAAGAAGACGTATAAACGCACCAGAAGTTTAATTGGTTTTTGACTGGAATTTCTATTCTGTTCGGAACCCCCTTCCCAGAATTTTAAGGATCTCTACAACTTTGAACAAAGGGAAGTGCCCAAGGTGTACGGATCTGACTCATTCATGTAACTCTTTGGGCCTGTTAGGCATTTCCAAAGTATGAGACTAACCCATTCCTGTGAAGTTCTGTGTGTGTGTGTGTGTGTGTGTGTGTGTGTGTGTGTGTGTTCCAGCCACTAGAAACAGATGTTTTCAGTGCTGCTGAGAGAAACAAACAAAAAAAATTTCCTAAATGCATCTGAGAGAGAAGCTTCTGCGGCATCACAAGAAGATTAAAGTGGCAGACATTCCTTCCAGCGGAAGTTACTAATTCCAAACCGGCTGATGTAGTTTCCATAGCAACCCAGGTTTCCTAGGAAACCCGAAAAAGGTTGTCATGGCATCTCTTGCTCTCTGTCCCTGCCCCCCTAGCCCCTGCCGTTTCCACAGTAACCTTTCCAGATGGTTCCTACTTACATGATTTCATAAGGAAAACCACTGTTTGAATAAACCGCACAAATGAAGGGAAGTCTGAAATTCCAAGGTGGTGAAATGACTCACAAAATGCATATTTTTTTACTACAAAAAAAAAAAAAGCATTGATATCACCCTATAATGACTGAATCGAGAAGGAAAATGCCATCTTTGGGATGTTAGGTAGACACCACAATCAGGCGTGACTTGAATTAAATGTGAGTAATTAGGCAATAATTTCAAAAGACGCTTCTCTACTGTTTTCTTTCACCAAGAACTTTTTGGGCAACCAATGAAATTAAAAAAAAAAGCAAATATAAAGGTGTTCTGTACATACCCAAAGGACAGATTCCATCGGTGTATCCGAAACCTTGCTACAAGGGACCTTCAGATGTCCTCTTGTTAACAACAGAAAAACCCAGATTCCACAACACACCATCACCATCACGGCGCTTGAAAAGCTAAATACAATCGCAAATTATGAAGGACGCATGTTTGTAACTGAGGGAATCGCAGACAATCCATAGAAAGGAGGGACGGGAAGTAACCAGATCTTGGGGAGATGCCTTCAAGTTTCAGCCATGTGCCAGGGTTGCCGGAAGACAGACAGACTCAGGTGAGCACCCTGTGGGCCGCTGAGGGCGCTGCCTTCTTGTCCAGGGAAGCGGGGCAAGGCTATTCGTGCCCAGATTGGCGACACTGGCAAAGCCAGTCGTTTTAGATGAATTACCTGCCAGGTGCCTTTTACTGCAACCCCTTTTCCATTTGATTTCCGGGCTGTTCACTGTCCTTTGGTTTCCATTGTTTCCTGAAAAAGAATGAGAAAAAAAATCATTGCTGTCTAGCCTGCACCCACACTGAGCGGAAAATGGTGCCATTCCGTTCACTGACCCACTTGGCTTCTGAGCAGCCTGTTTCCCCTTAAAAAGGAATGAAAAGGCAGAAGCTACAGCCGTTAGATGAGTGTTCCAGCTTTAAACTGCATCATTATTTGGTAGTGCAGTTCTTTGAGACAAAAATGGCTAAAAGGGCAATAAAGGTAACATTTTACTTTAACATAAATAATTGTATACACGTTATAGACATGCGTTTCCCGCAATTATTTTTGTTTTGTTTTGATAGGTTGTCACTTACTCTCTCCTAGAGTAAATGAGAGTAACCCTGTGTTAAAGCTTGTAAAATACTTCCAGGCAGTCAGAAGCCTACTTATGTTATTTGTGCTTTAAGACAATGAAAAATAAAATTAGGACAATAAGAGAGGGAAGAGAAAAGAAATCTACATGCCTGGTCATAGCATCATTGTTCTAATCTATGTGCATCGAGAGAGGACCCTCTTGCTGCTTATTTGAGTTACTTTTAACATTGATCTACCTTTTCCCCAATTTTTGGTATTGTTGATGACCAGGAATTCTGTTTATGACCTATTTTGGTGGTGATATGTTAGACACACTATAGTAAGGACATAAAAATAAATTCTGCATCTCTTTTTAAAAGATCTAAGAGCTGAACAAAGTACAGTAATGGTTTTATTCATATTTTTCAGAAGATGCAGAAACCCTACGAGCTCTGTAAGTAGTCTGTGGTTGTGCCATAATTTTTGGAATTGTATGGCTATTAGATAACAGTAATACAAATGCAACCCTTTTTTTAATCCAGAGAAATATGGCTTTTGAGTCCTAACTTTGGGGTAGTATAATTGCTTCTAGTTGCCATATTGTTAGCTTCTTGAAGGTTATAGGTTCTATGTCCTGCACAGAATGTAGCTTCTTGTGTGTATTTAATACACACCTGTATTTGATGGGTGAATTGCTCTTATGTTACATTAATGTTCTTCTCAGGCTTTTAATGAAGTGGTTTAATGCATAAGCTCTGCAGTTACATTGCCAGGGCTTGAATCCTGACTCTGCTGTTCGACCTTGAGCAAATTACTGAACCTCTCTGTGCCTCAGAGTCCTTATTTGTAAAATCAGGATAATAAATAGTACCTCATAGGGTTGTTGTGACTATTAATTGTCAATACAGGTATACTACTCAGAAAGGGTAAATTGCATGCTATGCAGCAGAGGTTTTGCTAAGAGATTACATTACTATGATATATTATTTGCTAAGAGATTGCATTATTACGGTGATCATTATTCACACGCTTTGTGTAATTAATACTGAACTTCGTGAATGATTTGAAATACATAATCAGTGTCTTCCTATTTACTGCCTACATCACAGGAATAATCACCACTTATTAAGGGTCACCATGTCCTTGACACTTCTCAACTCAGCAAGTTAGGTGGTATTCACCCCATCTTAGGAGGGTAAGAATAAATGGTTAAGGTTAAATGATTTTCCTGAGACGTCACGGCTAGCAAGAGACCCAGCTATAATTTAAAACCAGGTCATTCTGCACCTGCCCCCCCCCCTCCGCCCAGACCCTGTACCTTTTATTGGATGACTTTAAAGAGATTGAGAAAATAAATTTCTAATGCTTTCAGATTTGATTTCAGCCCATCTAACTAATTAATGAATTCCTGTAAAGACCATATCTCCAGAAACCTAGTTCCTTCAGTATCCTGGAAACTAACCCTTTTCTAATCATCAAATATATTTAAACCATAGGGGTCAAATATGTTATTTAAATTGGATGAAAGGTGGACTTTTCCGGGAGAAAGGATGACTTTCTTATATGATGGATTTATCTGGATTTACTATTATGCTCAGAAAGTATAACCAGTCACAGTGGTGGTTCCTGCAGGGACATTGGATATTTTTCAGTTTTAAGCTTTAATTTCCTATTTCCACATGTTTTCATCTACAAGAAGTGACAGCATTGTGCAAACTGGTATTTTCCCGCCTCCTTACACTTTGCTTAGGTTACTAGCGATCCATGCCAGAGAGTGGTGTAAACATTGTGACTCCCTCTTACCAAGAAGGGAGAAATTACTGAGAACAATAGGGTTGAAAGCAGGAGATTGCCCGTTCCCTGAAATTGGTGCCCTTGTTGCTCTATAAGAGCATCGATCCTCAACAAAACATTAGAATATAATTTTGTCCCACAAAATAGCTGTAGCTCTTCTCTCACGTCCGAAATCCAATTTAGTGAAATGAAAATGGGCAGTGATTTGGACTTAGAGCAAAAATGGTAATGAGTCTAAGTTTGCACAGGCCAGAGAGCCTTGCAAACCACAGACTTCAGTGCTGAGCCCGAAGCATGACTTGGATGTGGATGGTGCACATACAAAGATCCATGGGATCAGGGGCCACCGGGTCATACACACCCATCCACACGTTGGGGAAAATCTCTATACCCACAGCCGGTGAATCTAGAGATAAACATTAATGTTATTTTATTTCTTTTTTAAAAAATATATTTTTTTTATTGATTTCAGAGAGGAAGGAAGAGAGAGAGAGAGTTAGAAACATCAGTGATGAGAGAGAATCATTGCTTGGCTGCCTTCTGCAAGCCCCCTACTTGGGATTGAGCCCGCAACCCAGACATGTGCCTTTGACCAGAATTGAACCTGGGACCCTTCAGTCCGCAGGCCGACTCTATCCACTGAGCCAAACCAGCTAGGGCTATTTTATGTCTTTTATGGTGTTACCAAATTTAAATGCCCACCAAATAGAGTGACACAATCACCAACAGCTACACATAAGAGAGCCATGTTATATTGGTTATTTCTAAGCCTTGCAATAAAATGTCGGAGTTGAAATTCTAAATGCACAGTATGAAGAAATTTAAAGTTACGGTTTATTGACGTAAAGCATGTTATTTACCTCTTTGGCGTATAACGTACTCAAGTAATTGCTTTGCTGATAGTCTAGAAAGTCAGCATATAGCATGCATACCAATAGTCTGGTCCTTGGAGAATCAGAACTGTAATTCACTGACTTCTATACATTTAAAATGTCAGTGTTTTCTGCAGCACCAGCCAAGTCCTTCCCACCTCTCAGCCGTGAGTAAAGTGATAGTCCCTCCCACTCAGAAATGCTAAGCAGAACCCACGCCCCCAGTCTGAAGACTGGCAGCACTGAGCTAGAGGTGAGGGCATTAGACGGGGAAGAGGAGCTTAGAGCTTGCCTTGAGGGCGGTTTCTT